CAAAAGGCTAGATGTAAGACGAACAAGGAGCAACGGTTTCGAGCTCAACAAGCCACACTGAAGGATGGAAAATATTTGTTTTCACCCATAGAATTATAACGTTGTGGAAATGCATACCCGCCGAAGCCGTAAATGCCAAAACATTGTTCGATAAAATCACCAGGGCAAATAGGGGACATTTGACAAGCCGTCGGCTTCCTATGCTCACTGAGAGATAGTGACTGGTAAATTCAGGTAAATCTTATTGCTTATTGAAGGCAGGGCTGTGTTAGCAGCATTATACTCTCTGAGCAAAGCAATGCACTGTTGCCCTCCAACCCAGATGATGGGCACTGGTTCCCATGTCTGTGGACCTATACCTTGAGGTTACCTTGAGGTGCTTCCGGGGCTTAGCGCCCCCGCGGCCCGGTCGTCGACCAGGCCTCCTGGTTGCTGGACTGATCAACCAGGCTGTTGGACGCGGCTGCTCGCAGCCTGACGTATGAGTCACAGCCTGGTTGATCAGGTATCCTTTGGAGGTGCTTATTCAGTTCTCTCTTGAACACTGTGAGGGGATTGCCAGTTATGCCCCTTACGTGTAGCGGAAGCGTGTTGAACAGTCTCGGGCCTCTGATGTTGATAGAGTTCTCTCTCAGAGTACATGTTGCACCTCCGCTTTTCAACGGGGGTATTCTGCACATCCTGCCATGTCTTCTGGTCTCATGTGATGTTATTTCTGTGTGCAGGTTTGGGACCAGCCCCTCTAATATTTTCCACGTGTAAATTATTATGTATCTCTCCCGCCTGCGCTCATGGGAGTACAGATTTAGGCTCTTTAGTCGATCCCAATAGTTTAGATGTTTTACTGAGTGGATTCTAGCAGTAAAGGATCTCTGCACGCTCTCCAGGTCAGCAATTTCTCCAGCTTTGAAAGGGGTTGTCATTGTGCAGCAGTACTCCACTCTAGAGAGCACAAGCGTTTTGAAAAGCGAAAAGTTTTAAAAAGTGAAAAAACCTATACTTACAACCACGTTCTCGTCTGTGGACCCTCCCTACTTTGGTACGGCTCTCAGTGTGCTTGGTAGAGTAAGGGTGGGGGGATGTTTGTCTGGTTAGGTGAGGTATTTGTTGACCAAACCACACACTAGAAAGTGAAGGGACGACGACGTTTCGGTCCGTCCTGGACCTTTCTCAAGTCAATTGTGCATTCTCACAATCTACTTGAGAATGGTCCAGAATGGACCGAAACGTCGTCGTCCCTTCACTTTCTAGTGTGTGGTTTGGTCAACATATTTCAGCCACGTTATTGAGACTCCTCGTCTGCAGGTGTTTGTTTGCTAGGTCAGTATAGGTACACAACTGGTCGGGTTCTTGTTACACTCCGACACGAGACAATTCGGCTAAACTCATTTTCTGTTTTAAATCCGGATGTACTGTTATGCTAGGCTGTATTAGGCTATGTTATTAAGGTTAGGTTGCATTGGGCTCGGTTGAATTAGATTGGTTTGATTTGGGTTACGTTAGGTTGGGTTGAGCTATGTTAGTCAGGTTTCAAAATTCATAATTCCACTACGCCACGGAAGTCTCTGTGGCGCAGTGGTAAAGCACGCGCCAGCCCTTTGACCTGGGTTCGTATCCTGGCCGGGAAGGATTGACTGCCCGCCAATCCTTAACTGTTCACCCAGCAGTGAATAGGTTGTTAAACGATTTGGCGGGTCGTATTCCAGGGAAAAAATTAGGATTAAGGACCTGCCCGAAACGCTATGCGTGCTAGTGGCTTTACAAGAATTTAATAACTTTTTTATATATAAATAAAAAAAATAAAAAAAAAATCCGCCGACGAATCTTCTTGTGTGCGATGAGACGTGTATCTGGCATAATTAAAATCTTAACTTAAATAATTGGTTTGTTAGACAATATATGATATTCAGATCTATAAATTACTTTAGAAAGGCCTATAATGCATATAAATATTAATTTACACATTCCTGGCGCTATACGCTAGGAATTTCAATATGGCGTTCAAATAATTTTTGGCAGGGAGTCTCTGGGTCGGTTGGACGCTACGGGTCATCGACTGCGACCCGGTCAGTCTTCAAGAAGCGGCGGCGGCGTTAGGTGCGTCGCTTCCGTGTAGGTAAGGCTGATAATTTTTTTTTGTTTTTCTAAATATACCTGAGCAGTTGGGAGGTACGCATGAATATATAGTCTACCTCCACCTACAATGCTTAATGCATTATACATTTGCTCGCTATTATAACATTGAGTTTTGTAATGTCTCGAGGGTCATTGTTTCCGTATTTTTTTTTTTCATCCGGGTTCTGCAGTATTCAAATGTTTGTATTCCACTAATGCTAAATAGTCTGTCCTCTCTCGCATATTGTGGAAGATTTTGAGGATCATGATTTGCCAACGTTATATGGGTAGGATATTATGGAAAATACACTTCCCCATTGTTAAACTACCCCGTCGTCAGGCTAGGCTCGTTAACGCGGCGGTCGTCTCCCCCACATCCAAAGACGCTTTTTTTTTTTTTTTTTTAGATATATACAAGAGTTGTTACATTCTTGTACAGCCACTAGTACGCGTAGCGTTTCGGGCAGGTCCCTGGAATACGATCCCCGCCGCGAAGAATCGTTGTTACAACCAAGTACACATTTTACTGTTGCGTTAAACAGAGGCTACAGTTAAGGATTTGCGCCCAGTAAATCCTCCCCGGCCAGGATATGAACCCATGACAAAGCGCTCACGGAACGCCAGGCGAGTGTCTTACCACTACACCACGGAGACCTAGAGACCATTTATTATCGACTTTCATGTACTGTGTATAAAAAATAGTTTTTATCGTGTATAAATTAATTTTATATTCTATAATTAATTAGCCGTATAGTAGGTTCGGTATTTAGGTTCTGTTGGCAATTATTTTCACTTGAAGTATGTGGAGTGTGAAGCATTTACAGTTGCCTGTCCTCAGGCCAGGCTCGCCTCCGTGGCCGCCCGACTCAAAGCCGCATTCGTCAATTTTATTGCAGTGTATTCAGAATTATTCTCGCGTATAAGGTAATATTATTTCATCAAGTTAATAGTTAACAACTAAGTTTAGTGACAAGCGACAGGCCAATGTACAAATACTGCAATAGTTTAGTTTAGTTCATTTATTATGCACCCCATACCCATCTTGTGGGTGGTTATCTTGAGATCTGTAGTGGAAAGGGTTACAGAGGCAACTAAACTAAACTGGTCGGGGTCCGGTAACACAACTGGTCAGGCTTCGGTTACACAACTGGTCGGGCTCCGGTTAAATAACTGGTCGGGCTCCGGGGGTGTCATTTGGGCCTTGGGTTGTGCATAGTCGGGCTTCCGTTCGTGCATGGTTGTAATCCAGAGGTTGTTTGTATGGTTCGTTCATGCTAGGCTTGCGGTTAGACAACTGGTCGGGCTCCTGTTTCACAACTTGTCGGGTTCAGATTACATAACACCAGGGGTGTGACTTGTTGGGCTTTGGGTTGTGCATGGTTGTACTCCGGTTCGTACATGGTTGTGCTCCAGTGGTTGTTTGTGTACTAGTGCTCCAGGTTTGTTTGCGAGGGCTCTATGTTTATATGTTTGCTAGAAATTTCGAGTTTCTTTTTTTTTGTATATAGTTCAATTGTTTGATATGGCTCCATAGTTGGTTTCTAGGGCAAGTGGAGGGTTTTAGGTAGCACTAAGAAGATTTTTGTTTGGTCGAGCTAGGAATGGAGTTTGGTTGTGCTTTGGGACTGTTTAGGTTGGTGGGCGTTGGATGAGATGTATACTTGCTAGGCTTAAGGTTAGACAACTAGTCGGGGTACGGTTAGACAACTGGTCGAGCTTCGGTTACACAACTAGTCGGGCTCCGGTTACAAAACTGTTCGGCCTTCGGGGGCATCACTTGGGCTTTGGGTTGTACATAGGTGGGCTTCGGTTCGTGTATGTTTGTGCTTCGGATGTTGTTCGATTCATTCATGCTAGGCTTGCGGTTACACAACTGGTCGGGGTCCAGTTACACAACTGGTCGGGGTCTGGTTTCACAACTGATCGGGGTTTAGTTACACAACTCGTTGGGGTTTGGTTACACAACTGGTCGGGTCCGGTTACACAACTGGTCGGGGTCCGGTTACACAACTGGTCGGGGTCCGGTTACACAACTGGTCGGGGTCCGGTTACACAACTGGTCGGGGTCCGGTTACACAACTGGTCGGGGTCCGGTTACACAACTGGTCGGGGTCCGGTTACACAACTGGTCGGGCACCTGGGCTTCAGATTGTTCATTACCCTCTTTGTGTAATGAAATTGTAAAATAAAGTTAGATATATATACATACATACTAAAAGAATAGGGGTGGTAGGAGAAGAAAATATCAGTGTTTAGTGAGGATCCACAAGGTCTTCTCTGGGTACTCTTTATGTTCTTCTCCGAGGCTATGGGTCCCTACACTTTCACCAGAGGTGGTACCCCTTTTAGGTTAAAAAAAAAAAAAAAAAAAAATATATATATATATATATATATATATATATATATATATATATATATATATATATATATATATATATATATATATATATATATATATATATTTTTTTTTTTTATTGGAGTTAAAATTAACGTATATATATGACCGAACCTAACCAACCCTACCTAACCTAACGTAACCTATCTTTATAGGTTAGGTTAGGTTAGGTAACCGAAAAGTTAGGTTAGGTTAGGTTAGGTAGTCGAAAAACAATTCATGAAAACTTGGCTTATTAGGCAAATCGGGCCTTGCATAGTAGGCTGAGAAGTGCGTTCTGGCTACTAGGTACGACATATATATATATATATTATATAATATATAATATGTGTGTGTGTGCAGAAATAATATTAAAACAATTAACATTGTGTAGTGTACTCTATATATCAAAATATATTACTTTGAAACCCGTATCAGTCACTAAACAAAAAATTGGGCTACTTTTATTACAAATTCGCTACTTTTAGACCGTCAGCTCGCTACTTTCAGCAATTTGTATCTGGCAACCCTGAGTCGCCCCGGCCGCTCGAGGTACATCCGCGTTTCGCGCCTCTATAATATTACTAAATTGTGGCTAAATTACACACTGTTCATATCTAATATCAAGCCACGTGGAGTGTCATTTGTGGCCGCTTTAGAATATTTGAAGCATACAGTGTGTCATGTTTAATATTAAGCTAATTTTGGAGATATATAGTACCCCTTGGATACAACACTACTCTAAGGGATATACCCTTAGCAACCACGTTGGACGCCACGCTTTATGTAGTCATTTCTGTGCCTTTTTCTATATAACATTATATATATATTTTAAGCACTCTTAATACTAATTGGGCTTGTCTGGGAGAAGAAGCGTGTGTATATATATACTTGAGACATGTATATGGAGGTCTCTTTTTTTTTTCCCCCTCACAAGGTGGCACTACTGGCCTTCATGGGTGAGTAGAAGCATCAGGTGAAGGGGTAACTTGCCCAGCCATTTCTTCCGTCCCGCTCGGGGCTCCAACCCGGGATTCCCGATTGTGATATATGTACAGTTTAGTTTAGTTCATGTATTATGCACCCTATACCCATCTTGTGGGCGGTAGTGGAAAGGGTTACAGAGGCACATAATGGGCTCATGGACTGAACTCCACAATTCATTTAGCTAAGCAAGTTACAATCTTGATGAGCTAGTTAGAAAATTCAGTATAAGTAGTCACATAATGGGTTCGAAATCGGCCACAAGTACAGTTTCTAAATTAAGCAACTGACATGTGGAGAGCTAGTGTCACAACTGATATAGTTATGTCTTAAAATAAGTTGCAAATTGCAGTTGCAGTGTTAAAAGGGTTGAGTGCAATTAAGGATGATAACATACAGGCTTCCTGTCCCTGACGAAACGAATTATACAAAGACAAATAGAGACAAAAAGATGTAGACAGATGGGTGTAAAGACATAGACATTTAAACAGAAACATGTATGTGAATTATAGTAGGTAATTTTAGACATAGATGTGTAGAGATGAAGGCATTAGACAAAAAATTGTAGACATGCAGATATTGGGACATGTAGACATAAACATGTGAACATAAAAACCATGTACTTGCCTAGTTATGCTTGTGGGGGTTGAGCTCTGGCTCTTTGCCCCTGCCTCAACTGTCAATAAACTGGTGTACATATTCCTGAGCCTACTGGGCTCTATCATATCTACATTTGAAACTGTGTACGGAGACAGTCTCCACATCACTGTTAACTACTTTTCCATCTGTTTACTACTCTGACACTGAAAAAGTTCTTTCTAACATCCATGTGGCTCATTTGGGTACTAGGTTTCCACCCGTGTCCCCTTGTTCACGTCCTACCTGTGCTAAACAGTTTATATTTATATACCCTGACAATTCCTCTGATAATTTTATAGGTAGTGATCATGTCTCGCCTAAATCTCCTATTTTCCAGTGTTGTGAGGTTTAGTTCCAGTAATTTCTCCTTGTAGCTCATACCCCTCAGCTCGGGGACTAGTCTGGTGGCACACCTCTGAACACCGAGTTGGGAACATGAACAGAATGTGAACATAAAGAGAATATGAACACAGACATGTAGTCGTTCATACATGTAGACATAAATAGACACAGACTTATGTAGACATACAGTATAGACAGAAAGAATGAGACACAGGAAATGTACTCACATGTGCTGATGATGCCAAGCTACTAGGTAAGATAGGAAACATAGAAAATTGTCATAACCCACAAGAAGATTTGGACGAAATAAGTGTATGGGGTAAACATGGAAAATGGAATTTATTCTGAATATATGACACATTATGGATTTTTTCTTAATAAAAGAAACCACAATGTACCAACAGAAAACCACAGAAAAATAAAAACAAGAGTACATACAGGATATGCAGAATACAGTAATACTATACAACATGAAAAGAACCTAAACACAAGAAGAACCAAAAGTGAAATACATGATACAAAGCATATAACAAACCCCTACACGGGCACAAAATACAGAACAAAAACCAGAACAGTACACATAACCAGTACAAGAAACAAAATATTAATAACAGAAAACAAAACCATACAGGGAACCGTAAGTACAAAAAGACACATGCAAACGACCTGAAAGCTGTAAGGACACATGTACATAATATAAACTATCACCACACCAAACACACAAATACAGCAGCACAACAGTACAACCAGCAACTCACAAGACACACAGAGCCGGAAGTATAAAACCACACCCAACCTCACAGAACACGTACAGAAAGACACGGGGACACACGCAAACCCCACTCAAGCAAACCCACAAACAAAAAACCGGAACATGCAGGAACCGGAAAACAAAACCCGCCCCACCCACCCACACATATGCAACCCCACCCCACAACCACGCACCCATGCGCAAGCAACACCACAAAACACAGTAATCATGGAGTGGAGGAGGATATTTCTCGGGAAACTTCCACGATGAATACTTCCGCTTATAAGCCTCCCATATCAAATACTCCTGGTCGGTAGGGGAACCTGTCACCTGAGGACCACATAAAGATATTATTATTCCTACGTCAGTGTTATTGCCGTGTTAATATAAAAAAATGAAAATAATAGATGGGATTTGAAGTGTGGTAAGGGTGCTGGTCGGTATGGTATTATAGTTGATTTACTGTACTATGCTATATTTGTGGTTTTATAAATTTATCTTTTAACTCAGAATTCTGGATAAGTACATGAAGAGGTTTTGCTATGAGTAACACCATTTTGTGAAAATTATTTAAAAATTTTACTCCGTTTGAAACTCTAAATAAGTTAAAACCATATACAGTACAATACTGTAATCATTTTCATCAGTTACAATGTTCCCATTTCAGATTTGACTTGACATTTCAGCAGCAACATGGCAACACGGTGGGGCATAGTAAGTGCCGGTCTGATCTCCAATGACTTTGTAAATGCATTGAAGGCCTTACCCCCAGGGGAGCACCGCCTGGTGGCTGTAGCTGCACGCTCACTTGACAGTGCAAAAAGCTTTGCATCAAGAAATGGAGTGGAAAAGGCATATGGGTCATATGCAGAGCTTGCTCAGGATCCTGATGTAGGTAAGTGGGTGAGGAGCTGTGGTGTTTTCTGGACATTAACATATGCTCAAGACATAAATGCCAAGATATCACTTCAGTTCAAATCCAGTTGGATAAAACCATCAGGAACAATGGGAGGCTCCAATTATTTAAGAAAAAAGCATTTAATATGCTTTTTCTGTAGTCACAGAAAAAGCATATTAATTAATTAAAGGAAGCCTTTAATACACAGAGCATTGTGGGCATAAGATGAATACAGTAAATTAATTATTTAAAAGTTGCTCTAGAGGGACCTTGAGGATCATAAGTACAAGATTCCTGTCCCTGACAATACAAATTAAATATTTTATGAATTCTGCAAATTCTACAGTATGTTAAAATATATTTTACAGAGGTGGTGTATATTGGCACAATCCAGACACAGCACCTCGCTGCTGCTTCCCTCATGATCCAGTCTGGGAAACATGTCCTTTGTGAGAAACCCCTTTGTTTAAATGTGAAGGAGACTAAGCAGCTTATTCAACTTGCTGAGGAAAAGAAGGTTTTCCTGATGGAGGTTAGTATTTGAGCACAATGCTTGTTCATAGAAGGGAAAATATCTAAGAAAATTAGTAATTGTATAATACTTTTGTGTTCAGTTCCATATGTATCAATGATTCTAACATGAATCTTCTCTATTTTCCTTAAATTTGTCTTCACTTGAGAAGGAAGTTAAAAAAATCTCTCCAAAAGTTTATTTTTAGTTTTATTTGGCCTGACGCTAAGGGATGTATTTCATTAACTCTTGTTATCATTGTCAAATGCAGAGTTCAAATGATTATAAATTATCTTGCTGCATGATATATATATCTGAGGATGAGGTGAAGGTGAAGCACCTCACTTATTGGTCCTTTGTATCTTGTCACTCTCCTGTTTGAATAATAGCTGAGGCAGTATGTTGTATGTTCCATCATGTTCTGGAAGTTGGCAGAGTGTAATTTGGTGGTAATTGGCAATTGATACATGGCTTGGTTTGCTTGATGTTTAGTGTCTCACCGAGTGCCTTATGTTGTCGCTGTACCTATCAGGGCATTCACTCTTTACATTAAGGCACATTCCCATGTTAGTTACCTTAGTATAGACTGCAGTGTTAAAGCCTCTACCCATCTGAGACTATTACATCCAGGAAAGGTAACCTACCTACCTCTCTTAATCTCATAAGTGAACAATAGCACTGAACTTCATTCGAATGCATTCTTAAGCCTCATCAAGTGCTCAGTATCAGGTAATTGCAGGAATATGTCATCCACATCTCTAGTATACACTCAGCTTTAAGCCCATGTCAACAAGGACATAGGCCTGAAGCCCATGTCTATGGAGAAGTGAATGAAAAGCAATCGGAGAAAAACTTGTCGTTTGACTCTAAATACATACTGTATAAGTATTTGCTTCTCCTACCACCCCTTTTATTTATTTTTCTTATTTATATATCACTTTATTATAAACTTAAGTGGTTACAGAATATGAACACTAAGAAAAAATAAAAGGCGTTTGTTCCAGGCTGCCAGGGGGCTTCCCCCCCCCCCCCATCAACAGCACTGGTACTCTGACTACTGCACCAGGATGATCACTGGTGCAGTGGTCAGAATTCTAGTGCTGTTGATGTGGAGACCCTCCCCCCCTGGCAGCAGGGGTTTGAATCCTCTGAGGAGGTCATTTTAAGTTTAGTTAAAGTGATATACAGTATGTGCATGTGCTTGGGGACCATTCAAGCATTGCTTACTGATAAATAAATAAATTAAATATATATATATTTTTTTTTACAATCTGCATAGAAAATATAATAATTTTGTGTTCTTTTAGGCAGTATGGTCAAGGTTCTTCCCTGTGTACCAGGAGATGACAAGAAGAATCAAGTCAGGAGAGATTGGAGACGTGGTGCAAGTTATCTGTTCCTTTGGCAAATCAGTGGAGAATGTAGAGAGGCTGCTGTAAGTCTGAGTGTGGCATGTGTTTTCTGCCCATTGTGTGTGTGTGTAGCCGAGGCCTAGAGTAATGTCGTTCTTGTACAGAAGTTGACTCAAATAATGCAACGAAGTAATAGAAAAATTATGATCCGGATGTATGTGAATTGTGATGATACAGTAGGTATTGTAGCTGGAGTAAGAAGAAAACTAAAGGAACATGGACCTGAGTTGATCAATATAAAAAGATTAATACACAATAATGTTTTTATTGCACAACATTAATTAAGCCCAGTACAGTGTACACTAGTACTTCTAAACCCCAAAGTTCTACTTTTCCCACAGGAAGAAAGAAACTGGCGGAGGAGTCACCCTGGAAATAGGAATTTACCCAGTGCAGTTTACCACACTAGTAATGGGAGGAAAGAAGCCACAGAAAGTGCTTGCTGGTGGACACCTGAATGCCAATGTGAGTCTGTTTCACTGAAATGGGTATATACTGCATAGGTTATACAATATCTACACTTATCAGCATCATTGGAAAAAATGAGTGCCAGTATATTGGTAAAATATCCATAGTAGTAAAGTACTACTCATTTATTTTATTGATTTAAGTGTAAGGTACTGTATGCCACACAGGGGAAAATAGTTTCAAGGTCAATAAGCCATACCCTCAGTGCCCTCACCTGGAGCAGTGTTGCTGCTCATTGTGAAGGCAGCATCCAGCTCATAATCAACATTCATCATGTTTGTTTAACATAAAATTTATAAGCATCTTTATCCTTGGGATTTTCATCTCAATTCACCTTTGCATGAACCTTCTAGATGGGATTCTGGACGGATGGAGTATTTTACAGTGTTTTCCTTGCACTTGTGTGTCGTGGCAGGGACATGGGTTCTGTAGTATATACATAAGTCTACATGCTCAACTCAGTCAAGGATCCTGTGTTCGATCCCCTGGTAGAAAAAAAATAGTTGGGCACGTTTCCTTTCACTTGATAGCACTGTTCACTTGGCAGTAAATAAGTACCTGGGAGTTAGGTAATTGTTGTGGGTTACATCCTGGGGAAGATTAGTACAGTAGTTAAATAAGCCAAAGTATAATGCTTCCTGTACCCAACAAGAAGTACATAATTATTTGAAAATATCGCTGTTGTGGAATGTTAAGTGTTCCTTGACTGCACAATACTATTCAGAGGACCAGCAGGATTTTGTGTGAGGGATCAACCAAGTGTCTTACTCAGAAAGGCCTATTTATTATACAATCAAAGATTGATTTTGTCAACTTTATCACCAGATTGTGTCTCACATTTAAAGATATGCGAGGCTTCTTATCAGTGGAACCATGAAAAGAGATAGTAGGGGCAAGATGACCAACTTAAGGCATGGTAGACACAAGGGGCCAGTTTTATGCAGTATTCACCTTTGTGTTTAAAGTGTAGTTGAAACATTGGCCTATATATTTAAATTTGATTATTCCACATTTGCTCCTTGAGGTAGTGTGGCCTTTTAGAATCTAGAAAGAATCCAGTTTCAGACATAGATACTTGAGGTTTATGGAAGAGCACTTTTAACATTTGCTAAAGAATTTAATTATAGTAGTTACTTTTAGTTACATAAATGGAGCAGTTTGTGTACCTATTGCTTGCCATGAATAATTAAGTACAGTATTTTTTTAAAGACTGTAGATGGCTGAAACATTCATTTATACCGATTCCTGCTGGGGACAGGAAGGCTTTTTGAAACTCCCAAGATGCACTATTGACTTATCCCAGGATGTAACCCACAACAATTTCCTTACTCCTGGGTACCTATTTACTGCTAGGAGAAGAGGCATCAAGTGAATGGATTCGAGTTTATTTTATTTATTATGCACCCCATACCCATCCTGTTGGCAGTAGTGGAAAGGGTTACAGAAGCACATATTAGGCTCAGAGACTGAATCCCAAAATGAATTTAGTTAAGCAAATTACAGTTTTTGATGAGCTAGTTACAAAATTCACTGCTCATGTCACATCAACAATGGGCTCGAGACCAACCTTAAGTACAGTCTCTAAATTAAGTAACTGATGTATGTAGAGAGCTAGTGTCATTATTGATATGTTTATCCTGCATACCACCCCTTATCCAGTGGGCAGCAGTGGATAAGTTACAATCCCCCATTTACTACCTACAGTTAGCAAACTGGGTATATTTGGCAAATGTTTTTGATAACAGATCATTTTGAATGAAATATGAAACATGCCAAACCATTTCTAACCCGGCCGGATTTTTTTTTTTTTTTTTTTTTTTTTTTTTTTGAGATATACACAAGAGTTGTTACATTCTTGTACAGCCACTAGTATGCGTAGCGTTTCGGGCAGGTCCCTGGAATACGACCCCCACCGCGAAGAATCGTTTTTAAAACCAAGTACTGTATCCATTTTACTGTTGAGTTAAACAGAGGTGAGGTTACAGTTAAGGATTTGCACCCAGTAAATCCTCCCTGGCCAGGATACAAACCCATGACAAAGCGCTCGCGGAACGCCAGGTGAGTGTCTTAACACTGCACCACAGGGACTGGTTCAGTCCCCGTGAATTAAACCCAGATTCCCCAATGGTACACTGAGGATGTAGACCAGTGTGCAAAAGTCATGTAGGAGGAAAGAATCTGAAGAAATTTAAAGATGCAAGGTGGAAAAAGTAAGATGCAGAATGGGTGTACACAGTGTACAGATCAAATAAATGTACCAAGCCGGCAAGTAGTACTTAACTATAGATTTTCGGTTCTGTACTTTACTAATTTCAGCAATCATTTTGAATACAGTATTTAAAATAATTTTAATATGTTTGTTACTTATTTCTAGTACAGTACAATATTTATTTTTAATAGGCCAATTATAATAATTTTTACTATAATGTGCTAGTACTTTTTTAGTACTCATTTTTGTTACTGTATTAATTTTACACTTATTTTCAGTACAGTACCTTACAAATCTAAAGTATTGCATGTATTTAATATTATTATGCTTAAGAATGTTCTTGAAGTTTTAACATACAATGCAGTATATACTAGGATATATGAATTTGCAGTTGCAGATCATTTCTTGAGTGTAAAACGTTTACCGCAATATATTTTGCCAGGGTGTAGAAGAATCAACAAGTGTCTCGCTTGTCTACTCTGGACGACGCTTGGCTTCTCTGAGTGCCACCATCAGGGCATGTTTGCCTTCAGAGGCCTTTGTTATTGGCACTAAGGGCACTATCAAGGTTAGTGTTTTCACTGATTATCACAAGAAAATGTAGAGCTGCATATCTTCTTGGGGGGGGGGTGATAAGAAATAATTAATATTATTAATGTTTATTTGTAAAATACAGTATACTTATGAACATGTTACAGTGGTTAATTAGTAGGTACAGAAATTGTACATTATATAAAGCCACTAATATGCAAAGTATTTCATGTATACTGTAACTTCAAATTATTTAGATAATGTGCCTCTAAATTTGTTTGAGGGTAACGCTTAATATTATACTAAGAGGGTCTCAGTACAGTTGACTTAATTTTCAACTCACAATTGGGGATTCTGGGTTTGATTCCTAGAGGGAACAGAAATGGTTGGGCACTTTCCTTTTTACCTAATGCCCCTGTTCATATAGCAGTCAGGGTACCCATGAGTTAGAGAATTTAGGGGTTGCATCCTAGGAGGGTCAGTAGTTTAACCTTAGGGGATTACCTCGATATGAGCTTAAAGTGTAATTACCTAAGTGTAAATACAGGATGAGAGCTACGAATGTGGTGTTCCATCTTCCCAGTACTGTACTTTGGCATTTAAAGCTTTGAAACTGCTGATGGTTTTGGCCTCCACCACCACCTTTTTTTCTTAACTTGTTCCAACTGTACCACTCTGTTTGCAAAAGAAAACTTTCTAATATATTTTTGGCACATTTGTTTTCAGAGTTTGAATCTGTTACCTCTTCTTCTGGAAGTTGCAGGTTTCAGGAATTTCTTTGTCAGTCTGGTTGATTCCTTTTATTATTTTGCAAGTGGTGATCATATCGCCTCTTTTTCTACTATCTTCTAGCTTTGGCAGCGTTAATGCTTCTAGCCTCCCTTCGTAACTTTGTTTTTCAGTTCTGGAAGCCATTTTGTAGCATGCTTTACATCTTTACCAGTATATTGATGTGCTTGAGACATGGGCAACATACAACTGCTGTTTATTTTAATTTTGGTCTCACAAAATTCATGAACAGTTTCTTTAAAATTTCACCATCGATGTAGTTAAAAGCGAAGCTGAAGTTGGAAAGCAACACACACGCTCTCTGCAAAATGTTCTTATGTGTTCCTCTGGTGACAGTCTATCCAAAGCCACTCCTAGATCTTTCTTTGTTATTCTTTAATTTTTTTTCACGTAATCTGTAAGGTGTGTGGGGTCTAGTTTCTCCAATTCCACATTCCATGACATGGCATTTATTCACATTGAATTCCATTTGCCACATTGTGCTCCAAGCACTTATTTGATCTAGAACAATTTGAAGGACATGACAATCATCTAGGTCTCCTATCATTTCCTAGGAGCTTATCGTCATGAGCAAACATGTTCATAATTTAGAATTCCTTCTGGTAGATCGTGTATGTAGACGATGAACATTACTGGCACAAGAACTGAATCCTGTGGTACTCCACGAGTAACACACTTAGGCCACTTACTAACCTACTTCCTTATAAATGTTTGTGTTATAGCTGTTTGTGTGTTTTGGTTGCTTTCATGTACCATGCAGTACAGTATTAAGTCTAGCACTATATGATTATGTAACAAACTCTGATTTGATGTCACAATCCCTTGCTGCAGGCAATGTGTATCATAACTCCTTGGCTAGCAAAGATGCCTGTTGTACCCTGAAAACTAGATAAATAAAAATGTTCTATTAATTATGTTAATTATTATGAAAATGTGAATGGTGGGAAATGTCGAATATATATATATATTTTTTTTGTTTTAGGTGAACTATCCCATGTGGTGTCCTGAAAGCCTGGAGTCACCATCAGGAAAATTTGAGTCACCACTTCCCAAAACAGGTCACACTTTCAACTTTGATAATAGCCAAGGATTAATGTATGAGGCAATTGAAGTGAGACGCTGTCTTAAAGAAGGTTAGTAATTCCTACTGGATTTGTTGAAATAATAATAATAATAATATAACTTATAAAAATATGGGGGATCTGATTACATTGGTTACATAGCAGGTAGTACATTCTTATACAGTATTTTATAAAGTCATTAATTATATGCAGCATTTTGAGCATAACTTAAAAGACAGTACTGAGTTTTAAATTTTGTTGAGGAGACAAATTTAAACAAATTTAACATTGAAAGCATTAAAAGAAAATTGACATTAGAGCATTACAAAGTTAGAAGATTCAAGCTTTTGTGTGTACATTTGTTACACAAAAGACTCATGCACAACATAATATTTGTAGATTGCAATATGGAACAGTACTTGTGTTTTCTAACATTTATACTAAATGATACAATTAAATTCTTGCATAAATAGGTGAAATAAAATTATTTTTTAACTTTATTGAATTTTGTATATTGTTTCTTGCGGCAGGTTTGCTGGAGAGTCCAGGGATGAGCCACAAAGAGAGTCTCACTATTGCTGAAGTCATGGAGCAAATAAGACGACAGGTTGGAGTAGAATTTGACTAGAACATCAAGGCAATCTAACAGTGTTAAGCTTTCATATAAAGTCGTAAACTAATTGCTGTTATTGAAGACTGGAGCCCAACTATATACTGTATAGTGATAGCAATAAGATAATCAGTGGTATAGTATTAGAGTTCTTTTAGAATATTGTATTAATCTTTACTTTCATGACATCAGTAGTTTGCAGTATGGAACTGTACTTGTGTTTTCTAACATTTATACTCAATGATACAATCAAAGTTAGAAGATTCTTAATTCATTAATTAAGTTTTATTACCATCTCGGTTATTACAGAACAAAATTGTAATTTTGTCGTGGAAGTCAAAATCCTCATTAGTATGTAATTCATGTAATTATGGTTATTCACTTGTTTATGGAATACACGAAGTTTCAATTTGTTATGTAGCTTAATTCTGTTAATTTGTATTTCAACAAGTCCTTCATTATATCTTGAGATATATCTTGAGATGATTTCGGGGCTTTAGTGTCCCCGCGGCCCGGTCCTTGACCAGGCCTCCAGTAAGTCCAGTATAGCAGCTTTATAGTAAGAACTAACTGGTAGCATATTCAACTGTACCATGGAAATATGTACAGGAATTTGAGAAATGCAGACCATAATAAAATTATAAAATAATTGTAAGTTAATGGTCTGAAATGCTCAATTACTATGCAGTACATTTTTTTTCTCAACAATAGTAATGTTTTTATATTAAAAGGATTTTCTATTTCAGAATTCAGTTTTCTTAGTAGTACAAAAGATGGTGATATTGTTGACAGCAGCTTAAATTTTACTTGGCTTTACCTGTTGCAACATTTGTTTAAATTAATGGTTGTTAGAAAACTTCAGTTTGGTTAATTTTTCTATAAGTGAATGCCTGTTTTGCTCATTTAAAATTATTTAATAAAAATCAAATGTTCACACAATAACATAAATAGCCTTAGAAAATTTTAAGTAAATAACTTAACAAATGCTAATCTGCAGTAGCAACTAGACTGAACCAGAAATGAGTTACTTTACAAACTGCTCATAGAGCACATAATTCTTCTAGAAAATTTAATGAAACATTTTAGCTAATTAATAAGGCATGTGAAGTATCAAGAAAATTGTACTTTAACAAATATTAATGCAAAATCACTAGAACTCCTAGCCTGACCCTATGACTAAATGTATGTCAAATTACTTTCTTACAGTACAGTACTCTTACTTTGTCCATCATGCATAAATATATATAACTAGCACAATAATACTGTTACAAATAACCTTTTCTGACTGTAGAATTTCAGTAACTCACTCAATGGGGAGGGTGTAAGTTGCTTTGCCATCTAAGCTTCCATTTAAATGGAAGTAACCTAAGGCAACCATTCGGCATGTCTTTCATGCTCGCGCATCTTTCTTGCTTGCACATGTCACACCCTCTAAGGCAAAATTCCTGGTATCACATTGTCACTCATTGCTATGGCAATTTCCTGGCAATACCACAATCTTGTGACTTCTCTTACTCTGACATCATCTATTTTTGCCTCTTTTTACCCATGCACTGGTTTACAAACACTGCTACAATCCCTAGCAACCAGGTATAGAGACGACTGAAGATGTTTTCATGGCCCTCCTTGTACTTGAGGTTACCACCACAATTAAATGTCTACTATTGATAAAAGTTCACCTACTGAAGTGTAGGGAAATCATGACACCACTAAACTACTGGGCTGTCACTTGTTTCCTTTCACTGGAGAATTATTGACAGTAGGACATAGGCTACCAAATGTTATACGAGAATAATATATCTGGAGTAGCCGGCACCACACTCCTCCTCCACTAATAAATCACTTGAAAGAATGTCACCGGAGAGACAGGTCTTCACACAGCTTAACATTGCACGTCTTGACCCTTTTAACCATCCTTCACTGACCTGGACTGACCTCAAGGTGTTAGTTGAGAGTTCTAGGCTTACAGACAGGCCTCTCACATCTGCAATGCTCTGCACAGCCTAGATGTAGAAAAATTGTCCCCAGACCATCCTCATCCCTCAAGTTGCACCTGGATTCGTCAATCAGTGATCTACCCCCCTTGGCATGGTACTAGCTCTCAGAAAATGAAAAACTTCTTTGCTTGCAGCTCAAACTTGGCCATTCTGTATGCTCTCTCAACCCTAAACTCCTTGCTTCTGGCCTGGTATAGTACTCATCGCAAAATTTTTCTTGATTTGGGAGTGCCACACATTGTCTATCCTTGACAAACTCTCAGCTAACCATGACCCTATAAAGTACTCAGTTTGTCTTCAGGAGTCTCATGACCTTGGGTCACATTTTGGTGGGTCAGTGTGACACTCGGCCAATCAGGTCACACTACTTCTCTATGTGAAAAAATTTTGGTAATGAGATGACACTACAGAATACTATATTCAAGATTTTACACTAGGCTATCCTGGCCTCCAAAATACATAACTCAAAATTTCACAATGAATACATAACCTAATATACCTGAGGGCCACAATCTCTCTAGTGGCCTCGACAAGGACAGGAAACCAATGACTTGCTAAAAGTCTCCCATTTGTCCTGATGATTTTATCCAGCTGGATTTTGAATTATAGAGATGTTTTAGCATTTACGGCGGTGATGGATAGGTGGTTCTAAGTGTTTATAACCCTATGGGTGAAAAAACTTCTCTGTTTTCTGTCCTACAGTGTGGCTTGTTGAGCTTGAAACCGTTGCTCCTTGTTTGTGTTACATCAGAACTTTTAAAGAAATGGTCTGGATCAATATTGGCCAAATTGTTTAGTACTGTACTGTATTTTAAAAGTTTCATTGAGATCACCCTTGTCATGTCTGGTTTGCTGTGTTGTATCTTACTTTAACTAATAAGTGCCTTGATCCATCTTACATGTTTAAGAGGTGTGAGTATTACTTGACAGTGGGAAGAGGGTGTTTACAACAATGATATCGTAACGGCTATCAATTTCAGTACTATTTCATTATTTTCATTTAAATACCACAAAATTAACCTCCTAATTCATAGGCTACTTCACTCTCGTCCCTAACTTAATTTAAATACAGTTCTAGAAACTGTAATAAGGGACATTGCATTTCTTTGGAAGGTTCAGTGGGAATGAATTAATTTGCTAGTCTGTCTAGCAGCCTGAAAAGCCTGTAAACACTTTTTCACAAACTCACTCCATTGCCCTCTTCATAGATGGGTCTAAGTCTGCCTATTATGTAGGTTACTCTGTCGTCATTCCTAACCAAACCTATATGTGCTGCCTGCTTCCTGAAACTAGCATCTTTAAAGGATGAAGTTTTTGCAGTCTTGTATGCACTTCAACTGCTTTCCCAATGTGCAAATTTAAGACAGTTAAATTTTGCCGGGTTCCCATCAAAATTGGTATTACCATAAATGAACGTGCATACACAATCAATAAGGAGGCTGTCCACATTTGCCCTATTTCCAAAACGGGCATTCCTTATTCAGACTTCTACCCAGTCATTCATTCCTCAATCTGAGACAGCTGGCAGGGTCGCTGGTCTGAGGTTATAGGTAACAAACTGCACACTCACAAAAGTAACATATCCCCGTGACTTCCTTCATACCTTCACCAGAGGTTGAGGTAGGAAGAAGGCCACGGTAGGAACAAGAGCAATGATTATATTTTTTTAAATAATGCTGGGTCAACCCAAGTGCCGGGTTAACCCGGGCATTACAGGGTAGCCCTTCTAGTAGATAAATACACTAAATAAATGTTCATACCTAGCCGATTTGAAAGTTTCCAGTGAACTTGCATCATTGATGTCACTTGCTAAATTGTACATCTTTGGAACCATTTCTGAATCAGTGTTTAACCATTTATTAAGTCTCCGGTGCATCCCCGCCTGGATTATTGCATTGAGGCCTCATCATCAGAAAGACAGCTTTATTGGAGAAATTTAATCACCGGGCAACAAAAATATTTATAGAACTAAGTGAACTCTCATACCAGGACAGGTTGAAGGCCTCAGTGCTAACACTGCAAACCAGACATGATAGGGCTGATCTCATCAAAACGTTCAAAACACAGAACAATTTGGAGGATGTAGATCCAGACAACTTCAAAAGGTCAGATGTTAACTTGGACAAGGAGTAACAGTGTCAAGGTCAATCCATGGTGTTGGACTGAAAACAGGAGATGCTTTTACACCCACGGGGTTATAAACTCATGGAACCACTTACCCGCCGAAGACGTAAATGCCAAAAAAACTGCTGAAGTTTAAAAATCCAGCTTTGAAAAAGTCATTAGGACAAATGAGGAGACCTTTGACAAGCCACTGGCTTCCTGTCCTCATCGTGGCCATTAGTGTGTTAGTGGCTCCTCAGGTAAATAAATTAAGGTAAATTATTTTGTCTATCTTAAACACTCATGCATTTGAATACATTTCTATTATGTCCCCTCTTCAACGTTATTCTCGAGAATTTAAATTATTTTTTTTTTTAATTCCCTCTTCATAAGAAAGATTACTGTGATTGCTTTGTCATACTCCTCTATATTCTCTTGAAAGAAGTTACATCCATTTTATAGTACTCCAGAGTGTGTAGGTACCTGACTTTGCCAATCCTTATACAGGTACTACATGATTTTTTCAACCTGTCATCCAAAAATGTTGGTGCCTATAGTTAATATGGCTGGAATTGCAAAATATGGACCATTGCACGGTTGCACCCGAAAAAAATTAAAATTCACAATGTGTATTATACAATATAAATCCACAAAGTATTAATTTCTTCAAATAATAAAATTATATAAAGTAAAATGTTTTCAGCGGTCTCCAGACATGATGATACAAGCACGGTGTTATAATGGCTCGAATGGTTAAACCATTTGCTGATAACGAATGCATACTTTTTTCATTTATATATACAAGAGTACCCCGTCAGGATAGGAACCCACGCCAAAGCGCTTGCGAAGCGCTGGGCGAGTGCTTTACCACTGCGCCACGAATACTTATATATAAGATAATATAATGTTTATTCAGACAAAAGTACACACATTAAAAATGAGTTAGAAACACAATGTTAGATTTCTAGATAGGGCTAATACATATGCCTAAACTATTACTTGTACGTTAATTACTTAAATTTAATACTTTAATTAATATAAATTAATTAATACTTTAAAAAACATTCATACGATCATAATATTCATCGAGAAAAAAAACTAGTAAAGCGCATATTGGTATTTATTTTTTAATATAAGCTCCATTATAAAAATCATAACGAATTTATTGTAGCGTTGTTGATAAAGGTCAACGACGTACTATTATGATTAATATGTAGATAATTATACATGATACCACGTGAGAACTACGATGAATGATCACCGAATTCCCGAAACTATGCGTGCTAGTGGCTGTACAAGAATTAAAAAAAAAAAATGCAGCGCCAGACTTGTAGCCTAAACCTTACCACACACCAACATGGCAGCATTAATCGTGTCGGCTGGGCAGCATATCCGGAAAAATGCATTGGCTGAATTGTTTTCTAAATATAGCGGTTGACATTAACATTTAATACGTTACCACGTATAAATGACAAAGAGGTATATGCTTATTTAATTAAATGACCCAAACCGTAAGGTGTGATTATAGGGTGTGGGTAACCGGCAACTAAGGTAGGTACGTGAGTCGGGTAGTGTTATCAAGTCCCTAGAAACGTTCAGGGTGCCGGGGCAGCAGCTCATCCTGTTGTACCACCTGCGTCGCCCACATATCAACGGTTGATGTCTACAACAACTGCCAGCATCCACAACCCACCTGTGTACACGAGTGCGTCTGATGAGACGTTGTTAATTCATACAGGTGTGTGATGTCTGAAGAAACATCCACATCTAAGTCCCAGGGCGTTGATACGATGCAGAAAGACTACTACTCATTACGTGCTACATAGCCTTTCCGGCTTGGTGCCTTCTTTTGATAATTACTTACTACTGATTACTATGGAGCAATAAGGTATTGTTTTGGACGAACTGGTCGAGCTGTTTATTAGAAGAGACCCGCATCATCTTCATAGAAAAGTACCCCGATGTAAGGAATTCTATAATCTCAAGAAGGTAAGGCAGAGAACTTTAATTATGGTTAACAATCTCTATGTATCCGGTAACGTCCGCAGTTAATAAAAATAGAGCTTGTGCCTCGCAGGCGTGGTATCCGTGCCGCTGCTATTGTTAAGTTGGGGGAGGAGGAATTCATTCCTTCGTTTAGTTTAGTTCATTTATTATGCACCCCATACCCATCTTGTGGGCGGTAGTGGAAAGGGTTACAGAGGCACATAATGGGCTCAGGGACTGAACCCCACAATTCATTTAGCTAAGCAAGTTACAGTCTTGATGAGCTAGTTACAAAATTCAGTATAAGTCGCCATATCAATGGGTTCGAGATCGACTTCAAGTACAGTTTGCATATTAAGCAACTGACATATGTGGAGAGCTAGTGTCACAATTGATAGGTTTATCCTGTACACCGCCCCCCATCCAGTGGGCAGCGGTGGATAGGTGACAATCAAATGAACAAATCCACAAGCGCCGTGACGAGGATTCGAATCTGCGTCAGGGAGCATCCCAGACACTGCCATGCTCCCGGACGCAGGTTCGAATCCTCGTCACGGCCTTTGTGGATTTGTTCATTTGATGCATCACGTTAGTGTGATCTCTGTGTGTGAGGTTACAATCACTTAGTTACTACCTACAGTTAGCAAACTGGGGATCCTGCAACCTAACCTATATTTTCCGCGTACAGTCAGGTTCCTTCTTGACTCAGTCAGAATGGTGGGTTCGAATCCCACGCTGGACAGAAGTAGTTGGATGCGTGGAAATATCACCTGATGCCCCTGTCCACCTAGCAGTAAATAGATACTGAGGAGTTAGTCAGATTTTTGTGAGGTTGCATCCTGGAGAGGGAGGGGGGGGGGGGAGGACGTCGATATAAGCCTAACGTATACTCTATGTATAAAGTGACTGCCTGTCCCCCGACACATTAAATTATTATTTAACCCTTGGGCAGCGATCTATGGATTTGGAAAATGGAGAAATGGCCCTTCCCGCTTATGCACTAAAAAATTAAAACAATGCAAAAAATAATTTGTATGCAAAATGTACGAAACACGAAAATATGTGAATATTTATCTCACTGGGCTCAGTAAGGCTGCGTCTGGCATTTGTCAACGCCTGGGGCTTGCCCAGTTGGGTGGGTGTGGAGTAAGACTAGTAACTGCATCTCACCATAGATGTAAAGTGCCTTGTATAGTAACTGTTGTGAGCCTCTTGTTGAATCACTTGTGATATAAAAACATTATTGATAAATGCAATATACACGTAAATTGTGACGACGACCACATTCCCCTAGTAACATTCATGACCATAGCCTCTTTCGTAACTGAAATGATAGCAGGATTTTAAACTCCATTACATCCACATAGACCTATTATATCCATATTTGCATCACACATGTAAAAGCCGGACAATAATTGTTTTAAATAGTCATATGACGATAATCGCATACCATTAAGGATCATCAATAGACGATAATCGCCACCTAAGGGCTAAATTATTATTATAACTTGTAGAACGTTGTGGATCAGCTCCTGAACCCAGTTTGTGAGTGTAACCTTCTGTTAGTTTAGATAAACTAATTAAAACTAAATACACTGTTGATGTAGATGTTAACACAGCCTTAAACAGGTCATCCATGCTGTAACTTGCTGTTATTGGTTGAGTATGTATCTGGTGTAAGCTTACGCAACACCTGCAGTTTGGTCCAGCATATGCAGCTCTCTGCCATCCTTAGGGTTGATCTGTATGCAACTAGAGTTGTAAGCTCAGTAAGTTAGCTCGGGCAATGGTTCGTCTTTCAATAGCTCTAATGAGAACTCCATATAATAATAATAATAATAATTTTTTATTTAGGCAAAGGTACATACATAAAGATATTTTACAAAGTTTGCTGGCTTTATAGATAGAGCTAGTACATACAATGCCTAAAGCCACTATTACGCAAAGCGTTTCGGGCAGGACATTAGTAGGGAAGGCCATTATTTGTGACAATTTATTAATACTCATTGAAGTAAATCCATTGTGTAAATTAATTATATTATACATAAATGTGATTTCCTCTAATACATTCTTTTTTACCATATAGGTGGCAGATGACGTTTACAAGAATACTGCTGCAGAAATTTCCAAGGAACAATACTGACAACTTCAGACATAATCACTAAAATAGCCATATGCACAGCTGCTGGACGGAAGTGTACATGTGTGACAGAGTACCTTGAAATCAAATCAATGATAAGGTGGCAGAGTCAATAACTAGGATTCAAGGACACGATTAAAAGGCACTTAAGGCACTTAAGATAAAAAGTGCTCTGTTAAGTGATCCATTATGAAGCTGGCAGTTATCTTGATTAGTGCTTTATCAACATGAGACTTTTGGTTATCTTTAGATGACCGAAACTGTTCCTAAAACAGTGTGCTGTTTTAGGAACGCAACAAAGATACACCTTGCAATGAACAACTATTCATATGTGGCGTAGGGTGTGGTTGTATTTACATTCAAGAAATTTTAGGTGATTAAATACAGATCTTGCCTTTAGACAATATATCTATTACTCTGGGTGCTAACTGGAGCCTCGCGGTGCATGTGTGGAGCATTATTATTATTATTATTAATATTATTATGAATTATTACTATAATATGAATTATTATTACCTTGAGACGATCACATTCCTCCTATAGATCAGTCGTTTGATAATTATTTAATTTCACTAGAGTCGATACCTGTAATAAATTTCGTATTAAAGACCAGTTTGTATATATATATATATATATATATATATATATATATATATATATATATATATATATATATATATATATATATATAGAAAAAGACAGTATGAATACATAGAACTGTCATACGAGAAATATATGGTTACATTGTACAAGCCAATAATATAAATTAAAAACTTTTGGGTGAAGAATAATAATATATATATGTCAAATTATGGCATATGTGAAGAGCTGTGGCTTGTGTAAAGTGTTGATTAAGGAATCTTAATAGACAATAGTGATTGTAATCGGTGTTAAGGAGTGTATTGTGCAGTAAGGATTATAATGAATGAAGATCAAATATTATGTAAAAGACAATTGTGTACCTGAAATATCACAGCATAATGGGGAAATTACTCAGTAGCTTAAGATCGTCTAGGGAACACACTAAACAAACCACTAGACCATCATCCACACCTGCTGCCCAGTCATCCACACCTGGTCAGTCAATACCTGCTGTTCAGGCATCTACGCCTGATGCTCAGTCATCTACACATGATGTTCATATATTAACTTCAACCTTTCCTTCGTCCACACTTCTTGAGTCATCTACATCTGTTGAACAGTCCACACTTACTCATGCCTTTGTGGACCCCAAGCCTTGCAAAGCAGGAGACGCTCAAGCGCTGCCCACAACAAGTTCTACAGTAGGCTATCCCGGGCAGCGTGCCTCCGATCCAAAGATAACCACCACTTTAAAATCATCAGTAACACATTCTGGGGGCAGTGAAGCTGGCAACAACCTCAATACCTCCAATATTTCGGCCCCCACTTCAGTCTCGGCAGCTGGGAGTACGTCGTCAGCGCCAGTTACCGGTGGGGACCCCTGCCTTCTTCACCCCAGCGGCAGCACCTTGACAACAGATGATGAGAACGTGCTCAAATACTTCGTCATGCTGCGGCGAACAGGACCAGCGGCTACTACTGTGGCCAAGGTAAGTTGGTTTAAGGTTCATTTATGATTGCTTCACTCATTGTGTATATTTCCATTATTTTTATGTATATTTTATATGTATAATCCATATTATATGTATTTGTGCATATTTTATATAATACATATACGTTCATAAATATATATACGTCCATAGTCATGTTAGTACGAGATGAACATTTGTGGTCATGTATTGTACAGAATCTTGCAGTAACCTTTAGGTTTCTCGTAATACTAATTTTGATCTTTATTTTTAATCAGGTGTGCCGTAGGCTATATGGCGGTGGGCAACTGAGTGTGAAAGATTTCTGCACAAATAATTTAGGTTTTACCAACACACAGTACAACAAGATCTTCACCCGTCATGAGCGTGAGTCTTTTGAGGATATAGACTGGGAGCAGTTAGATATAACCTGTGTATACAAACTTTTACAGCGAGTGTGTGGTTTGGCGCCTCCTTCTGATGCCATGTGGACTAATCCAGAGCCTCATCACGTAGAGTGTTTGGAACACATCCTTTTCACTATCAAAGGAGAAAGAAATTTCCTTGCGCATGAAGCTGTTGTTTTAACAGACGAAGGACTTCAAACTCGATCACAGAAACTGGAATCACTTTTAGAAAAAGCACTTGAGAAAGCTAGTTGTATTACTGGAGAGGATTATACTCAGGACATTAATGAAATGAAGGCAACTATTGATGATATTCGAAAGTCAAAGACCAAACTTTTTCTTCAGAACTATCAACGGGAACTACAAGAATTTCTGCACGAACTTGTCAATAAGGTAACTATAAATTCTCAGACTGAGCTCCGCCACACTTACCAAAAATTATGGGAATCAGAGTGTGTTTGGTGGCACTATGGCCAAGGCTTCCAGAGCCCACAGCTGGAAAAAATCTTTACTGACACAACTGTAATAACTAAAAACAACATTGTGGTGCCAGTTATGCAAATCTTAGACTACAAGTTACCTGACGGTTCCCTCCCAAGACTGGTGGTTCTTGAAGGTATCGCTGGAATGGGAAAAAGCCAAATCTGCAAGTATATGCTCAAGTGCTGGGCTTCCAAGGTTAGTACCATGAACAGTTGTGTAAAGTTTGACATTATAATTTTTATCCAGTGTCACTCAGTGAGTTCAAGTTCCTTGAGTGAATTCCTAAGAGAAGAGTTATTAAAAGACACCTGTAAGGGGCTAAGGCATGAAGACGTAATCCGTACCCTGAGAGAATGTTACATATTATTTATCATAGATGGTATTGATGAAGCTGGGAAGCATGCAAAATGTTTAATAAAAGAAGTTGGTGCTAAATTTCCTGAGAGTCGTGTAGTGGTATCATGCAGACCAGAGTACACTGGAGAAGCTAAAAGATTAATTTCACCAAGTGGAAATAGCTTCACTGTACTCTATGTGAAAGGCTTCAGCAAAACTCAACAAAAGGCATACATTAACAAGGTACTGATTGTGATGGAGGACAACATCACCAAACGTAAAGAAATGGTCCAAATGTTCTTAAATCATTTGGATGCAATGGAGCATGAGATATACTCATTACTAAGTTTGCCCCTCACCATGATGTTGCTGACGCTGTTGTGGCTGCAGGACAATACCACGTTCACAGGTGTTGTCACAATCACCCACATTCTTCAGCAGTCAGTAGAAATGAGCATCAAACGGCTCGTCCACCGCACAAATCAGAAATCAAATGAAATAAGACACGTCATGTTAATTGAACGTGCATGTCGACGATGGCTTCTTTGTCTGGCTAGAGTGGCATGGGAATCACTTACTCTTAACACTCAAAGCCTTGACTCTAACAATTACACATGGATTTCAGACCTTCTAGCAGAAGCTGAGCAACACGATATAGATCCCATTGATGCTTTGTCTTCGTTTTTAGTCTGTAGGACTCCTGAAGATTCATTGTTTATGAGACACATTTGGGAGTTCCCCCATAAAGCTTATCAGGAATATCTCTCTGGCTTACATTTAAATGAGGATGGCATTAAAAGTCAATGTAGTTATTCTCGTTCATCGTATTCTAGAGGGGATTGGCAGCCGTATGATGAAATTTCCTCTGGATATTTCAGATCTGTATCGCGAGGAAAGAGAACCAGAGCAGGAGGAGGTTGCTGCCTTACAACCATAAGCATTATATGTGCACCGTTATGTTGCATTATCAGCTCTTGTTCTTCATTATCACAAAAGATACCAAAACCAATGGGTGGTCAAACAAGTTCCGCGTATATCGAAAATACAATACTTTGGTCGATTAACTCTGATGAAGAACAAAGGGTTCCAAGAACATCTGCAATAAGCAGTCCCCCGACAGGATTAAGCTTACGTATAAAGATGAGAAGATCTATTGATGGAAGTAGAGATACGCGAAGATCTAGTGAGATAAGTAGAGAGATGCAAAGATCTAGTGATGGAAGTAGAGATACGCGAAGATCTAGTGAGATAAGTAGAGAGATGCGAAGATCTAGTGATGGAAGTGAAGAACCATACGCATTTTTTGAAATCTTGGACGACACGAGTTTTGATACAACTACTCACAACCAAGCATTACTTTTCTCAATGGCCATTGAGGTTTCTAAACAAAATTGTAACGAGGAAAAAATAGCATCGATTTTGGAACAAATTAACAAAAATTCTATGTTCAACACTTTGGTTGGTTGGTCAAACATCATAAGGGAATGCGCTGGAAATGAAATCGTATGTCGTCTGATTGAACCTTATCTCCAGAAACATAGAACCATACAGCTATCTGGGTATGAGATATATCAGACCCTTCCTGCAATTCAGTACCTAATGCAGACAACAGGATTTATACCAGAATCACTTGCTATATCACTCGGTGAAGACGATGTCTTCCCAGATGTTTTCCCATCTCTCGTAGCCTCTTTGGGAACGTTGTCAGTGTATACAAACATTAATTGCTTCCTGCATCATTGTTTGGACTTGTTTTACTGTTTAATTAAACAAGAAACTCTGGACTATGTAAACATCACCGTGCATGGCAACAGGTTTAGCGAATTGAGTGGCTTTGCTCGCTTACTGCAGTATCTTCGCGTACAAAATTCAAAATTAAACTTGAACTTAACAGTGAATGATACACAAAGTGCAGAAAATATTGCACAATGTTTTGCCAATACTATCGTGCCCAGGGACACTGAGCTGCTTCTATTTTTTACTTGTTTCACACCAATGATGCACCACCCTTTGTGTCAGATCTTCATGGCTTTTCCCTGGCAGAAACCCTTGTCTGTCGCCTTCTCCCACACTGATCTTTGTAGTAATGCACCTCATCGACTAAAACTTATTTCGCGAGCTCTAATGGATGCCCAGGTGAAAATTACTCATGCTTCCCTAGAGATGGACGCAGATGCCAAGTCATCAGCTGCTATGTACAAGGAGCTGGTTTATATTTTAGCTGGGGAGGCTTCTTTTGATGCTGCTGGGAAGGCTTCTCTTGATAATGATGGTAAGGGTCCTCCTAAAAATGCTGGGAAGGTTCCTCTTGATGCTGCTGGGAAGGTTCCTCTTGATGCTGCTGGGAAGATTCCTCTTGATGCTGCTGGGAAGGTTCCTCTTGATGCTGCTGGGAAGGTTCCTCTTGATGCTGCTGGGAAGATTCCTCTTGATGCTGCTGGGAAGATTCCTCTTGATGCTGCTGGGAAGGTTCCTCTTGATGCTGCAGGGAAGGTTCCTCTTGATGCTGCAGGGAAGGTTGCTCTTGATGCTGCAGGGAAGGTTCCTCTTGATGCTGCTGGGAAGGTTGCTCTTGATGCTGCAGGGAAGGTTGCTCTTGATGCTGCAGGGAAGGTTCCTCTTAATCTTAACATTCATGAAGGAAAATGTGGAGATCATGTCACCTTCATCTTACAAGGAACCAAATGTGGCCTGGACCAGATGAAATAACAGCAACAAAAAGTTTAATCTTTGTTAAACATACATGAGTAGCAATGACAAATGCAGACGTAAAAATGTTAAATAGTTCGAGTTGATTCCAAATGACAGGAATTCCAAGGAAGACCAGAAGTATTAAATAGGTTTAATCTATTTTCATTGCTATAAATTTCAAGAAAGACTCAAACTTCTGGGAAGAAATTCATATATTCTATCAGAAACATTAAGGGGGTATTCAGATTTTTTACGTGAATTGAATCCATACCAGTTGACAGAAGCTAAGCTGGATAGTTAGCCTATGTTAAAGGAATACATAAAGATGAAATTCACATTCATCTCTTAATTTATGCCAGCTCTGACAAAATTACAAAATTGATTACAGAAACAAACTATTTTCTTGACCAGCATTAAAAAATGCTGAAAGAAATATTGGTAATTATAAAAGTATTCCTAGTACTGTAGTTGTTAAAAGGTAATTACCTGAAGACCACCATTTCCAGTGACCTCTATGGGGACAGGAAGCTAGCGGCTTGTCAAAGGTTAGCCGGCCCCAGCCCCTATTGTTTCTGAGGATTTACTCCGACTTTATTTTGAACTGATGTCTTATTTTTTTTATTTTTACTCAACTTTAATTAAAAAGCCCTTATGCTGTCGGATTTATTGCAATATTGATTGCTAAACTGATACTGTGTTCCACTTTCTTTTCCATAGCTTAAATATTTACTTTTGTATACCGTTAACTGCATTTGCCACTTCTCTGCCCGCTATATATGACAACTCTGCTATTCAACTACAGTGTCACAATACAGTTCAGTATTTCTCCTCCAGTACTGTGTGCTTCAGCTTTCCACATCAGCCTCATGCAGAAAATGCATGGGGATGCAACCGCTACATTTCTGGCTTTCCGTTACAATTAACCATTATTTACATATGGTCATCAGTTACCCAAATGTATAACTTATTTCCTTCATCTTTTACCATTGTTTATTTGCCATACTTACTATATTTTAATGATAATAAATTTATGAGCCAATTCTACCCCCCTGCCTTTTATTTGAGCCCAGAGAGTGTTAAAGACCTTACTAAAGTAATGAAAAATAAAATTATCATAATCTTTATTATCTACTGCAATCATCTACAGCTATCTTCTACTGCTACCATCTACTGATGCAGATATACTTTCGTAAGATAAGACCGCTCTCTGGTGAAGTCATCCAATGAGTCTTTTTTTTTAATTACGCTTTTAAATGTGGTGAACTTATTAATTTGTGTTTGCTTTCAATTATCGCTTAAATCAGCTGAACTTTCAATCGATGTTGAAGTGCGAGGTAACCAAACTGGGGGGGGGGGGGAGGGGGTAGAAATAGCCTAAGTTACTCTATTCTTTGAGATGTATTTTCTTGTCTCAATAAACATACTTGAACTTGAATAGGGTTATGGGTCTGCCCTTTAGAATTGGAATTATGTTGGAAACCCTCCTCCATGCTTTTTAATTTTGTTCATTTATTATGCACCTCATACCTATCCCGTAGGTGGTGGTGGAAAAGGTTACAGAGGCGCATAATGGTGGGTTCAGGAACTGAACCCCTTAGCTCATATAGGTAAGCAAGCAACAATCTCAGGAACTGAACCTCAAAATTCATCTGGCTAAGCTAGTTACTGTCTTGACAACCTAGTTACATAATGTATATATGAACAGTGAGAGCCACAACGCTATTTTTTCTTTTTTTTTAGTCATTTTATTAAGACATTATAAAAAGTTAATAATATGAGTAGTGAAAAAGCTCATCCAAAATGTATTTGGTTTACAACATTTGTATGTTTTTTTTAACTTTGTTAATACCTTCAAATTATTATATTTAAGTGTAGTATTTAACTTTTATAAACACAATATACGAAGGTCAATGTTATTTCCGCGACATTTACGCTGCGAAAATTAGTACATTTTTAGAAAATATTCAAAGACAGTAACTAGTAACTAATAACATCTTACAACTAAACTATTATTATTATTAAATCAATTTATTCGTAAAAAGTAATTACTATTTTTTTTATTAACAAGCTTAGGTATACACAACAATGTACTGCTACCCTCTTCTATATGAAAGATTACACAGTGTAGATAAAAAAAACTAGCTATAAGTTCATCTAATATCTCCATCTCACATGATGGTTAATCATAAATGGAATCAGGAGAGAAAATACCTACCACAATACCAAAAAAATATTTTACAAAATAATCACATCATGAATTTCATACTACTGTACACGTTTTCTGCAACGCGCTTCATCACTACTTAAAAGAAAACGGTGCGTGTCCGGCCATCACCTGCGGCGCGTCCACGGAATGTTTATCTTCTACTCATTGGTCTCCGACATGTACTTGAAGGAGGATATTCCCATTTTACTTGTGGTTCCAGCGAAAGGATCACAATCCCGGTAAGTGTTCAGCTATTAGAGACGTGTGTAATGTGTTGTAGCTGTAGGAGTGAGCTAATTGTATGTGCCCTTCCGTTAATGGGAGCACGAGTTGTGATCAGGCATCTGCAGTGCATTATTAACATTAAAGGAATAATATAGTATTTCTAGTTTGCAAGAGTAACTTCATTCGCCAATTGGTGTTCTAGCAGCTGAATTCTAGCCCAGCCGTTACGGAGAATATATTTTATTTCTTGAGAACACTGATCAGTATTATGACAGCAGAGGTTAGGTTAGAGGAGTACACTAAAGACTCGGCATCAAAAGTCACTCTTCGGTGGTCATATCTTGTTGTCAGAAGTTGGAATGTGCAGTTCAAGGTCCTGTTTTTATATTAAAATTCAGGGGAAACAGTAGTTTTAGTTCACTATGCTTCCTCTTCCTGTCCCGTGAGGAGTTGCCTAAGCAGGTTACGGCACTGATGAAATAGTTTATCTGAATTTAGCTGAGGGTCGCGATATGTAGTGGCATCAACGGGGACAAGAAGCCGGCGGCTTGTGTCAGGCCCCCCTTCCCTCCCTCATTGTTCCTGAGATTTTTTGTTACGTGTCTATTTAGCGTTACTGCTGGCTTATTCTAGTTGCTTGATATAAGCCAGTGTATATGGTCATAGTGAAGCCCACACTCATCTTCTACACTTAAGAAAGCTATATTTTTTCTGTGGGCTCAAGTTCCCTAGCTATTCCACTTTTAAGAATATATTATATAGGCAAAGCATAGACATTATGTTTAAAGGCCAACAAACAAGCTCACATAAAACAATAAATTAATGAGATGATTTGAGAAGGGAAAGGATGTCAAACCCTTTAGCATTTGCAAGTCATAGATCTTCACAAACTTCACCACGGTGTCTTATCCTTTATATATACATGTCTTATCCTTTATATATACATTATGCATATACATTTCTGCTAGTTCATGAAGGCCTCAGTTACAACAAGTTTCTGATAAATTACAATGAGATATGTTTGTTTCAGAACAATTTATACTGAAGGCCTCAAAAGACCATAATAGCACCAGGTGAAGATTTTATTCATATTGCAGTGAATAAGTACAGTTGTGCAGTACAATATTGCACAACTGATACTTTGATTTTAAAAGGTGATGATAACGTAGCACCTTGTAGTTGCATTCCTATAGTCTATCACGGTTCAAATTATGCAGGAAGACCAAGTTTTACACTATATTTAGCTTTACACTACAAATGTAGTCTTAAATATTTAAATACAAAAATCATGTAACTATGGTTTGAATATCTATATATTCACCTATAAAGATAATGCATGCAGCAGCCTAATATTTATTTCATATTGGATATATATATTCTGATTTGTATTTAATAAGTTTACAATTTATTACATTACTATTTATTGATAATGTATTGCAATTTATAGTTTTAAACGTACCAAAAGACTTTATAATTATAGTGTGCGCTTCGAAATACTTATAAATCAACCTGATAAAATGTTCAAATTAGGTTACCCTTTAAAATAAATATTATCGTTTAATGTTTTAAAAACGTTGATGGTTTTAACATTTGGCCGAAACTGCGCGTGTATAGTGACATTATGAAAAAAAGATAAATAATGTACTTACAATTTAAACATCTTAAGTAATTATCGAAGCGAGTAACTTACCAAAAGGTCAGATGTAGCACGAACAAAAAGCAACGGTTTCAAGCTCAACAAACCACAATTAAGGACAAAAACAGGAGATGTTTTATCACCCACAGAGCTATAAACCCATGGAACTGCCTATCCGCCGAAGCCGTAAATGCCAAAAACATTGCTGAAAAGAGATACAATCATCAGAACCTTTGGGACCTGGGACCTGGGACTTTGGGGGAGGGACCTTTGATAAGCCGCCGGCCTCCTGTCCTCGTCTAGGCTACTACAAAGATATTGGCCCCTGAGGTAAATTAAGGTAAAGAACACCAAGCCAGGAAGACTCTTTAGCATCTAATCAGACCCTCTGTAATATGATTTGTATATATAAAACATTATTACCATTTAGAAAATATTGAGTGCCTTTACTGAGGTCACCAGCAAGCCTTCCAGAACCCGAGAGACCGGGCAGCATATGATGGGTTCTGGAAGTGGTTACGTTCTATGCAGAACGCAAGTCACAATAACATGGCTGAACATTTTGACACCCAACCCACAAATCTGAAAATTAAGGAAGTGACGACGTTCCAGTCCTTCCTTGACCATTATCAGGTCGTGTCTTGATTATGGTCCAGGACAGATCGAAATGTTGTCACTTCATTTAGTTTCAGGTTTGTGGCTTAGGTGTCTATATAGACCTATGAAGGCGGGGACGGCAGCCGCAAAGAAAATTCTGGTGCAGTTAAATAGTGTTTGAACCAAAATGATTACAAGGAAGGGCACTCACATTTTTATATTCCAGATTTTCTTAATGTAAATGTATATCTGTGCTTGCCTCTAGCAAGATGAGCAGATCGGCCAGATTGGAGAGTTTGATGCATTTTTATATATTAGTTAACAGCTTAAGTACACAGCTCTGTGTTCTATCCTGGTTTATTTGAGATTGTATATCAGTCTCAAATAATCTAAGTTAGAATGCAATCTCAAATTAACTAAGTTAGAATATAAAAAACATGGTTTTCACTGAGCGTAATAAACCCAAGGAATCGTATACTCGCTGAAACCGTATTTATAAACTACATCATTGGAAATTGTGATATTAGGTATAAAGTAGTAGCTTTTAACAGAATTCCAGTTCAATTCATAATTCATTGAGTCGGGGGACTGTCAGCCAATGTATATTATGTATATGTTAGGCTTATATCGAGGTCCCCCACCCAAGGGTCGAACTACCCGCCCCAGGATTCAACTCTACAGCGACCTGACTAACTCCTGGGTACGTATGGCCCAGTACGCTAGGCGTACAGAGTTATTAGGTGATAGGAAACGCCCAACCATTTCTGTCCCGGCCGGGATTCGAACCCGGAATTCCTCAAGTATAGTGGTGGACACCGCCGGCTTCCTTTTCCCGTTGAAGCCACTAGAGACGGTGGCCTTCAAGTAGATTGATTGATAAAGATTAAGCCACCCAAGAGGTGCCACGGGTAAGTCCTCGGGTAAACTAACTAGGTTTAATATGTATTACAGATGGCAATATGACGTTAATCCTAATCTAAATAGTTCTCTGTAACGTCTCGTTTGGTACATAAGAGAAAACGGTGTTTAACAGAAAACGGAGTTCCCGCCCATCACCCGGGCGTCGGGTCGTGTCCTCGCAGGTTTGACCTTCCTCGTGGTGTTTGTCCTTCAGTTTGGGCGTCCTGCTTTGTATTTCACAACCAAAACTGTGATGTCGCTTGGTGAATGGAAATAGAGGCAAGTATTAACAACTTGGAAGTATATTGTTAGAGAATTCCGTGGAACAGTAGCCATGGCAGTCTGGTGACGACCTTACATTCCGTGGCTGGACAGATTTTTATAATACAATTAATCCGTTATAGTTTACAGAAAACACACACACACACACACACATAACAGATCACTGTTCGTTATTGTATGTTTATACGTATTTTCAAAT